TTTCCAGCTTGAGGGGGAGTGTTAGAGCTAGCCGAATAAGGGTAGATTAGTCATTTTATTTCTATTAAGTTATATGCTTATGTGGCAGTCTTAATAGTGACTTCCTGTCCCATACTTAAGTGGGGGCAGTTTAGTCTTTGTACTACTAATTAGAGGCTAATCCATATTAAGGGTCGACTGATAGGGTTTATCCTATCATGCTTGACTGTTCTCTTCATCTTCTTCTTCTTCTTCTTCTTCTTATTCTTTTCTCCTGGTTCGAACTACTGTAGCTACAGAACAAACATTCCTCTTTTCTCAGTTCGGCTGAACAGCACAAACACTTAATTTCATTCTCGTAAAACCATATAGTATCCTCGGGGTTTTTCAGCCAGCCCACCACCACCTTGGATTCCCCTTCAATGATTAATTGCTCTACCCCCAATTGGTTTCCAAATTGCACCCCTTGTACAGCAGCTAATAGCTCTGCCCTAATAGAATTTCCAACTCCTAAAGGACCTGAGTAGAGCAGTACCACCTCTCCAAACTCATTCCTCAGGATGCCCCCCATTCTAGATAACCCTGGATTACCTAAGCTACTTCCATCGAAGTTCAGTTTTAATGAGCCTTCAGATGGAGGAGACCATCTTGTAAGAGTCTTATTTTTAATGGAAGAACACCTGGCTACTGCTGCCCAGTTTTTCCAAAGGTCATCATATGAGAATTGATGGAAACTTTCCGAAGTCTTCAGCCACAGCATTGTCCTATTCAACACACAGTCCTTCAGTTCCTGCTTGCCCCTTTCCTTCTCTTGAAATATTCCACCATTCCTTTCTTTCCATAAAGTCCAAATCAATGCAGCTCGAGCACATCTCCGCATAATTCTCCCTCTTTTTGTAGGCCAAGGGAAACTAGACCATTCAAAGATCATGCAGATTTCACTGATAAAAAAAAAGATCATGCAGATTTCTGTTGGCAAGCTCCAATTACCGCCAAAAAACGAGAGTAGCCAAGCCCATAAATTTGCAGAGAATGGACAAGTAGATGATAACAATCCTCCCTATGAGCTCTACAGAGGGTACACCAGTTGGGGGAAATACAAAAGAAGGGTCTATGCTTTTGTAGGTTATCTAGAGTGTTTACTTTTCCATAATACACTTCCCAACAAAAAGCCATAACGTTTGGGGGAACCGACCTGCACCAAATTTCCTTTGAGGGAAAAGGCTGTTGGACAGAGGAATGAGAAGTGGATTTGAAGTAAGAAGCACAAGTAAAGGTCCCTTTGGGTCTAGGAGCCTACACCCTTTTGTCTGGCTTGGAAGGATCTAAACAAAACCTGATTAAGAAAACAAAGCATGTCAGAGAGGGAGTCAATTTCCTCATCCCTTAATCCCCTACGATAACTGAAATCCCAAGTAGGAGTGATCGGTGTTCTTGAAGATGAGATAAATTTAGACCACCTCTTTTTTTATACAATGAAACAGAAAATAACAAAGGGAAAAGTTCCTTTAGAGGGGTGTTTTCGATCCAATCGTCTTCCCAAAACTGGACAGCATTACCACAGAAAATAACTAACTGTTGCTATTTCCTATATATGCACAAGGCTATGATGCAAAAAGACAAGTAGCACTCCCTAGATGCCATGCACTGCGATTTCATGGCCATAATTCAATAACAATGCTTATCAAAATATTACGTCTATCTTGCAGAGCGTGATGAATTGCGTAAAGATATTGAACAATTGTGCCTGCAGCAAGCTGGACCCAGCTACCTCGTTATTGCTACTAAGATGCATTTTCAAAGGTTTCTGATTTGCTTGTTCATAAGTTTCAGTGTTGTAATCTTTTCAATTTCATCTTTTTTCCCCTTTTGAATGAACCACAAAGCATTTTTATAGTCAAATTAAAGCCCTATTAGGACATCTGCCTTGGAGCAGGAGATTGAGAACTTGAAGAAGAAGTTGGCTGCTGCTACAAGAGATAATCTAAACCTTCAAGAGGAGCTATCAGAAGCATATCGTATCAAGGTGAGGTTTTGACTCCATTGTTCACATTATATAAGCCCTTTCCCTATTTCTCTTTTTTGGACATTTCATTTTGTTTGCTTTGCTGTCTTCAGAGCCAGCTAGCAGATTTACATAGTGCAGAGGTCTCAAAGGTAATTGCTTCTCTTTGATTTCTATTAAGTAAAGGTTTGAGTTATCCACAATGCCCTGCACCTTTTCTCCGAAGTAGTGAAAAGTGAATTAGTGCATTTAGTGATTATTTTTTTGACTTCTTTAGTTCTTTATTAGTAAGCAAAATTTTATCATGCTTCATCTTATTTCATCAAATGTTAATATGTGCCAAGGAATACCAAAAATAAAAGCAGAACTTGTGCAATTAGAAAAGTGTTCTATTTAGAAACCTATGTTTAGACCCATTCATCCATGTGAAATCTTTTCTAAGTGGCCTCATTTTTCTGGTGGAAAGGAAGCAAAGATGTGTTGGAGCATTGTGTCTTTGCAGCCTGTATTGGATGGAAGGAAGTAGGAAAACTTTTGACAGAAAAAAAATAATGGTAGAAGAATGGTAGCTGATATTGGTTATTTCACTATGGACTTGCTTTAGGCACATTTATGATTTGAGGGTGTTAATTGGGCATCATTTGGAGCAAATGTTGGTCTCTTTTTCATGTTATTGTTGATGATGTTTAGGATACTCAATTTTTGCTTTTGGGGTAATGTATGAGGGTGGCATCTCAATACCTTCTTAGGCTGTGTTTGGGAATGCTTTCCCTTTCTAAATGGGCTTTTAAAGAAGCACTTTTTGAATAAGTGCTTATTTAGATAAACTCATTTGAACATTTGGTGTGATGTTCTAAATGGGCTTGTTCTTTATAAAAGGGCTTCTCCAATGTGTAAGAAGCCAAAAGCCCAAAATTTTTGGTTGTTATTGTTGATGATGTTTAGGATGCTCAATTTTTGTTTTTGGGGTAATGTATGAGGGTGGCATCTCATCACCTTCTTAGGCTGTGTTTGGAATGCTTTCCCTTTCTAAATGGGCTTTTAAAGAAGCACTTTTTGAATAAGTGCTTATTTAGATAAGCGCATTTGAACATCTCATCACCTTCTTAGGCTGTGTTTGGGAATGCTTTCCCTTTCTAAATAGGCTTTTAAAGAAGAACTTTTTGAATAAGTGCTTATTTAGATAAGCACATTTGAACATTTGGTGTGATGTAATAAATGGGCTTGTTCTTTATAAAAGGGCTTCTCCAAAATGTAAGAAGGCAAAAGCCCAAAATTTTTGGCTTTCTAGACAGGATCTTTGATGTGAAAAGTGCTTTTTGGGCTTTATTTTACCAAACGCTAATTCATAATTTTTTGGGTGCTTTTGGCTTATAATAAGTAATAAGCAGTAAGCCCAATAAGTGCTTAATATGACTCTGAAGCACAGACTTAGATGTACTTTTAATTAGTAAAATTTATCTTTCCCTTGATTATCAAAAAAAAAAAAAAACTTTCCATTGCTCTACAAAGAAGGTCCAAGTAACCTTGATCATCAATCAAAGTTTAACTTAGTAGTTGAACTTGGAGGGGGGATTCTATAGTAAATGTGACTGGCAGGGCAATGGCGCACTACAATAATATGCCTATTGTCAGGTGAAATTTTGTGTTAGAATTCTAGGGCCTTCATCCTAGAAATGGATCTGTTAGATCAATTTGTTTTCTCATATTTCTTTCTTTTTTGATGGTAAATGCAAATAAGTTTCACTAAGATAAAATGACAGTACAAATTATAAAATAGGGGAAGGGGTGATGATATAACACCCCAACCAGAGGATCTATGTACTTTCAAAAATTCTGGAAGATTGGCAAGTGGAATCATTAGCAGGGATGTTGCAAACACTTCACAATGCCAACTTGAAAAGAAATTAGAGGGGGAAAAGAATTTGGGTGTGTGAAAGTTCAAGAGAAGGAGAGGAATAGTCAGGATTTAAAGGATTGTGTGTTGAATAGGGCAATACGTTTGTTAAAGACCATGGAACCATTCCATCAATTTTCCTTTACAGATTTATGGAGAAATTGGTTAGCAGTGCAAGGTGTTCATCCAGTAAGGCTAGGGAAACTACAAGATGAATCCCACTGCATGAAAGCTCACTGAAGCTGAATTTTGATGGGAGCAGCCAAGGTAATCCAGGACGCTCTGGAATGGGGGGCGTGTTGGGAAACGAGCTTGGAGAGATTGTACTCCTCTACTCAGTGAAGGGAGGAGAGATCCATCGTATGGACACCCGAATCTTGCGGAATAGAATGGGCGAATTTAAAAAATCTCTCCATCCTACTGGGAATCGTATTCCCTGTTTTAGAAAAATCATATTTTTCAAGGATCAATCTTGAACCAAGAAACGAACCAGATCTGAACAAAAGCAGTAGGAGAGGGATATACCTGATACAGAGAAATAGTATCTCCCAATGGAGGTGTTCACGCCCAAGGAAGGAACCAAAGACTGCTCCCATTGAAGATGGCGCAGTGCAGGATGGAGCAGAATCCGTAGCGTTCTTCAAAAAGAACCAGATCCTTCGCAAGTATCAGCTGGACGGTACGTGAGCACTTTTCCAATCAGCCCTTTCACAAAGGACTGATATCAAGATCCAATCTTGATCACTCTTACTGACAAGAGGAGATCGAACTGGCAGATATGGCGGTGACAGGAAGGAGGCGGCAAGAGAGATTTAGCGCAGTGATGCTGAATACTCTCTTCTGTGATTTCAGCTCTGAAGACATAATGTGAATATCTGAATATCTTCTAAAGGCTGCCGCCCCCTCCTCCTTTTATAACCTTAAAGGGATCAGCTCCTAATCCCATTAGGAGTTGCTGATCCAAATCATATTTGGATCAGAATTCCCTTTAAGTGATAAGGGTAAACCCTTATCTTATCTGCAGATTAGATCAGCCCCCTCCTAAT